AATGCATATATTTTAGATGTTAGGTGAAACTTACGTTGTTCTAAAGGAAGAGGCGTCAACGGAATAATTGTTAACATAGATAACAATACCATACTATCAAAACATAGAAATCAATTTGTTTTCAAGCACTTTACTTTCTCTCAGCTCATAAATCTGTATCGAAGGACAGAGACATGGATAAAACGCGCGTCCTATCACACGACTGGGACTGATACAAACAACATGTAATATAAACAACATGTAATATAAACAACATGTAATATAAACATGTAATATAAACAACATGTAATATAAACAACATGTAACGATCAAGGTATCAAGGCTCTGTTATAGTATAGCTCGATTTGGCATGCGAATATTTACTTTCCAGAATACACTGCACAAGATTTACTTAGCTAATAGTGGAGGCCTTTAGAATAATCTGTTTAGCATGGCTTCATTTGACAAATGCTTTTAGTTACTACACCTATCATCATCAGAGTGGTGACGGTGCGTTAGGCTCTTAAATATATAGTTATTTCATCAAAGTTAATTGTGGAGTAGACAGATTACAGACAACAAAGAAGGGGATGTTATTGTGCACGCAGAAAATGTCATCATCACAGTGGCTCTGTCGCTTCAATGTAAGGCACGTCCCTTAAGCCAGCGATCGTAGGGTCGAATCTAAGATTCCCCCTGATTAAGATGATTGTTTATCTGCATCATTCCCGTCATTTAAGGATAGCAGGAGTTCAACATTTCCCTCCACGTGAGGCTGACACGTAATATATACATGAAACGCTGTGAAAAACAACTCACTTAACTTGTTCACTTCGCTTGGACATAGGTGAATGTCCTTTACTATAGACGTTTCACATCAGTACAACAAAAACACATACGTACATTCACACTTTTCTTCATTCTTGAGTCTTCAATCACTGGATTATCATGTCCAGACTGGATCATATACGGGTCATACTGATGGCCTAGTGACGAGAACGGCATAATACAACCGATAAGCAACCTACAACTTTGTCATACCCGAAATGAGTTACACTCCGATTCTGGTTTGTGCTTACACAGTTTTATTGTCAATTTTTAGCATAAGCCATTTCACTGTATCCGTTACTGACAGCTGTTTGTAGATGTTAGTCCAAAATAATTTCAACATTTGATTACATATGGCCATGGATGAGTGACTATTAGTAAATAACGTCGAAATAGCAGGTTAAATTGAGATTTCGGAAACCGACGATACATGGCAGTTCTGTTGTCGCTACTGTCGTCAACGTTGTTAAATGAAACAACACTTGTGTTCGTGAACTGCTGAACGCCAGAACATGCACAGCACAACCTATACACAACACAGCCAATGCACAGCACAACCAATGCACAATATAACGCACAGGTGCATGAGTTTCAAGTAGAAATCGATTCCAATAGAAATTGCACTTAGACATCGTGCTGCTTAGAAAATTGCAATTGGTCTCGTTTTACAACATTGATATTGAACAAACCGAACATAATAACATCCGGCTTATTTTCGGTACCTTGGAGTATTTGTAATGTCTGATTACGTGGGACAACTTGCTATTGTTCAATCCATCCTTTTATAGGAAACTGAGTTTGAGGAAATCATATTGCCACAGTTGTGTGACGTAAACAGAGAAAAGCAGACTGGAAACCTATTGACATGCGTTACACCATAACGTAGATGAAATGAATTCCTTGAGAAGTGTTTATTAGGCTGACAGGGTTCGCTTGGCTAGACGGTTCACATATACCGTTCACCAATAACCAGGGAATTGTGTGATATCTGCCTCGGATATCTAAGTAAGCAGTTACCTAGTGTTCTATATCTGATAATGCCTTAACACTTATTCTATATCTGATAATGCCCTAACACGTATTCTATATCTGATAATGCCCTAACACGTATTCTATATCTGATAATGCCCTAACACGTATTCTATATCTGATAATGCCCTAACACGTATTCTGAATCTGATAATGGCCTAACACGTATTCTGTATCCGATAATGCCCTAACACGTACTCTATATCTGATAATGCCCTAACACGTATTCTGTATCTGATAATGCCTTAACACGTATTCTATATCTGATAATGCCTCAACACGTACTCTATGTCTGATAATGCCTCAATACGTACTCTATATCTGATAATGACCTAACACGTATTCTATATCTAATAATGCCTCAACATGTATTCTATATCCGATAATGCCTCAACACGTATTCTATATCTGATAATGCCCTAACACGTATTCTATATCTGATAATGCCCTAACACGTATTCTGTATCTGATAATGCCTCAACACGTACTCTATATCTGATAATGCCTTAATACGTATTCTGTATCTGATAATGCCTTAAGGCGTATTCTATATCTGATAATGCCCTCACACGTATTCCATATCTGATAATGCCCTAACACGTATTCTATATCTGATAATGCCCTAACACATATTCTATATCTGATAATGCCTTAACACGTATTCTATATCTGATAATTCCTTAACACGCATTCTATGTTTGACAATACCTTAGCACGTTTTCTTATTTATATATGACAATGCTGAGACTGGCCTGCTGGGGAGACCTACCAGACCATCTTACAGTTACTTGTTGAGACTGACCAGCCGGGGAGACCTACCAGACCACCTTACAGTTACTTGTTGAGACTGGCCAGCAGGGGAGACCTGCCAGACCATCTTACAGTTACTTGTTGAGACTGACCAGCCGGGGAGACCTACCAGACCATCTTACAGTTACTTGTTGAGACTGGCCAGCCGGGGAGACCTACCAGACCATCTTACAGTTACTTGTTGAGACTGGCCAGCCGGGGAGACCTACCAGACCATCTTACAGTTACTTGTTGAGACTGACCAGCCGGGGAGACCTACCAGACCATCTTACAGTTACTTGTTGAGACTGACCAGCCGGGGAGACCTACCAGACCATCTTACAGTTACTTGTTGAGACTGACCAGCCGGGGAGACCTACCAGACCATCTTACAGTTACTTGTTGAGACAGACCAGCCGGGGAGACCTACCAGACCATCTTACAGTTACTTGTTGAGACTGACCAGCCGGGGAGACCTACCAGACCATCTTACAGTTACTTGTTGAGACTGGCCAGCCGGGGAGACCTGCCAGACCATCTTACAGTTACTTGTTGAGACTGACCAGCCGGGGAGACCTACCAGACCATCTTACAGTTACTTGTTGAGACTGACCAGCCGGGGAGACCTACCAGACCATCTGACAGTTACTTGTTGAGACTGGCCAGCCGGGAGACCTGCCAGACCATCTTACAGTTACTTGTTGAGACTGACCAGCCGGGGAGACCTACCAGACCATCTTACAGTTACTTGTTGAGACTGGCCAGCCGGGGAGACCTACCAGACCATCTTACAGTTACTTGTTGAGACTGACCAGCCGGGGAGACCTACCAGACCATCTTACAGTTACTTGTTGAGACTGACCAGCCAGGGAGACCTACCAGACCTTACAGTTACTTGTTGAGACTGGGGGGAGACCTACCAGACCATCTTACAGTTACTTGTTGAGACCAGCCGGGGAGACCTACCAGACCATCTTACAGTTACTTGTTGAGACTGACCAGCCGGGGAGACCTACCTTACAGTTACTTGTTGAGACCATCTTACAGTTACTTGTTGAGACTGACCAGCCGGGGAGACCTACCAGACCATCTTACAGTTACTTGTTGAGACTGACCAGCCGGGGAGACCTACCAGACCATCTTACAGTTACTTGTTGAGACTGGCCAGCAGGGGAGACCTACCAGACCATCTTACAGTTACTTGTTGAGACTGACCAGTCGGGGACACCCACCAGACCATATTACAGTTACTTGCTGAGATTGACCAGCCGGGGAGACCTACCAGACCATCTTATAGTTACTTGTTGAGACTGACCAACCGGGGACACCCACCAGACCATATTACAGTTACTTGTTGAGATTGACCAGCAGGGGAGACCTGCCAGACCATCTTACAGTTACTTGTTGAGACTGGCCAGCAGGGGAGACCTACCAGACCATCTTACAGTTACTTGTTGAGACTGACCAGCAGGGGAGACCTACCAGACCACCTTACAGTTCCTTGTTGAGACTGACCAGCCGGGGACACCCACCAGACCATATTACAGTTACTTGTTGAGACTGGCCAGCCAGGGAGACCGGCCAGACCATATTACAGTTACTTGTTGAGACTGACCAGCCGGGGAGACCTACCAGACCATCTTACAGTTACTTGTTGAGACTGACCAGCCGGGGAGACCTACCAGACCATCTTACAGTTACTTGTTGAGACAGGCCAGCCGGGGAGACCTACCAGACCATCTTACAGTTACTTGTTGAGACTGGCCAGCCGGGAGAGACCTGCCAGAACATTACTTACACCAGTCAGTTTACAGTTGTTGAGACTGACCAGCCGGGGAGACCTGCCAGAACATCTTACAGTTACTTGTTGAGACTGACCAGCCGGGAGACCTGCCAGAGGGAGGACCTGCCAGACCATCTTACAGTTACTTGCTGAGACTGGCCAGCCAGGGGAGACCTGCCAGACCATCTTACAGTTACTTGTTGAGACTGGCCAGCAGGGGAGACCTACCAGACCATCTTACAGTTACTTGTTGTTGAGACTGGCCAGCCGGGGAGACCTGCCAGACCATCTTACAGTTACTTGTTGAGACTGGCCAGCAGGGGAGACCTACCAGACCATCTTACAGTTACTTGTTGAGACTGACCAGCCGGGGAGACCTACCAGACCATCTTACAGTTACTTGTTGAGACAGGCCAGCCGGGGAGACCTACCAGACCATCTTACAGTTACTTGTTGAGACTGGCCAGCCGGGGAGACCTGCCAGAACATCTTACAGTTACTTGCTGAGACTGGCCAGCCGGGGTGACCTGCCAGACCATCTTACAGTTACTTGTTGAGACTGGCCAGCAGGGGAGACCTACCAGACCATCTTACAGTTACTTGTTGAGACTGGCCAGCCGGGGAGACCTGCCAGACCATCTTACAGTTACTTGTTGAGACTGGCCAGCCGGGGAGACCTACCAGACCATGTCACACTATGGCACTGCTGATTACCTGTTTCCTTCTTCTGCTGTTGTATACAGGTAAGCTGATTGTTAGTCCTTAACTATATATCAAGAAATGCATGGTTGATACATAAGATACATTTGTTGATATACAGGCCCAGCAACCACTTCAATAACTCTACATGTCATGGAATACCATAATAATCTAAATAAGAAAACAACTAACAAAATTACAAACGAAAAGTGAGTTGCTGCGAGATAGCAACTGTGCTCTGGCACTCAAGGTAGAAACATATTCTGTCAGGATCAACAAGAAGTCTTCTCTATAATAGTCTTGTTACATCAATACAAAGAACAACATAAAACAAAATAATTTCCATTATCGTGACAAATCTCAGCTAAAAGAAGAATATATTGTACAGTTCCAAGTTTATAATAAGCATATATTTTAATGAATCATAATAATCTGGATGATAGCAGGTGTACGCGGAAAGAGGCACGAAGATCCACCAGGGGTATGGGTCACAATAACATGGCGGGGCAAGCCATGTATTCATCTGAACAAACGCAAGAACATATAACATCTATAGTGTATAAGCTGTTATCTCACGCTCTCACGTCACATTTAAAAGTGTTGAAATCGATGTCAGTCCTGTACTCATAGCGATGCAGTTGTGTTTGTTAGTTTTGAATGTCTTGAATGACTTCCAGTTAGTTCCCAGCTGCACCGATATGTTGTTACCTACAAAAAACAACAACGAAAAACAACAACCCCCAACCGCAACCCTCCATAAAAAAGACCAAAAAACCCAACGACCATCGAAGACTTATTTTCTGAACTGGCGTCAGTTCATAAGATATAAACTTGTTCCTTGTTTATCATGTGATATTAATGACAGACATTGTACTCATCTGTCTCAATCCTGAACCATATTATACTTCCTTCCACCCAGCCCTTTCTGTAATGCAAAATGTCAGAAAATCGGACAATATCAACAGTTTCCGATCTTGTCTCAAAACCATCCTCTTCAAACGAGCACTCGACTAAGCGCACATGAGCAGGACTCATACAAATGTCTAATTTGATTGATTTGATTTGAAAAGTCATAAATGAAGAAGCTTACATTCTCTGAATGTCCCTTCTCACTGGGCTGCTTTTCGAGGCATATATAGAGCAGCGTTTATAACATGAATAGTATTGTCGCAATCAGGCAAGCAAGCACTTCGGTAGACTTATGTCAGGAACTTCTATTCTCATTGACGAAAGTGCAGACTTTAATTAAGCGTGGTAACAATTCGTTCCAAGATGGGAGCAACGCTACAATATAAATTCATGCACCTGGTCGTAGTATATCATTTATGTTTATAGACTGTGACAAGCAGACAGAATGCATATATTTTAGATATTAGGTGAAACTTACGTTGTTCTAAAGGAAGAGGCGTTAACAGAATAATTGTTTACATAGATAACAATACCATACTATCGAAACATAGAAATCAATTTGTTCACTTTGCAAGCACTTTACTTTCTCTCAGCTCATAAATCTGTATCGAGGGACAGAGACATGGATAAAACGCGCGTCCTATCACACGACTGGGACTGATATAAACAACATGTAATATAAACAACATGTAACGAGCAAGGTATCAAGGCTTTGGTATAGTATAGCTCGATTTGGCATGCGAATATTTACTTTCCAGAGTAGACTGCACAAGATGTACTTAGCTAATAGTGGAGGCTTTGAGAATAATCTGTTTAGCATGATTTCATTTGACAAATGCTTTTAGTTACTACACCTATCATCATCAGAGTGGTGACGGTGCGTTAGGCTCTTAAATATATAGTTATTTCATCAAAGTTAATTGTGGAGTAGACAGATTACAGACAACAAAGAAGGGGATGTTATTGTGCACGCAGAAAATGTCATCATCACAGTGGCTCTGTCGCTTCAATGTAAGGCACGTCCCTTAAGCCAGCGATCGTAGGATCGAATCTAGAATTCTCCTTGATGAAAATGATTGTTTATCTGCATCATTCCCGTCATTTAAGGATAGCAGGAGTTCAACATTTCCCTCCACGTGAGGCTGACACGTAATATATACATGAAACGCTGTGAAAAACAACTCACTTAACTTGTTTACTTCGCTTGGACATAGGTGAATGTCCTTTACTATAGACTTTTCACATCAGTACAACAAAAACACAAACGTACATTCACACTTTTCTTCATTCTTGAGTCTTCAATCACTGGATTATCATGTCCAGACTGGATCATATACGGGTCATACTGATGGCCTAGTGACGAGAACGGCATAATACAACCGATAAGTAACCTACAACTTTGTCATACCCGAAATGAGTTACACTCCGATTCTGGTTTATGCTTACACAGTTTTATTGTCAATTTTTAGCAAAAGCCATTTCACTGTATCCGTTACTGACAGCTGTTTGTAGATGTTAGTCCAAAATAATTTCAACATATGGCCATGGATGAGTGACTATTAGTAAATAACGTCGAAATAGCAAGTTAAATTGAGATTTCGGAAACCGACGATACATGGCAGTTCTGTTGTCGCTACTGTCGTCAACGTTGTTAAATGAAACAACACTTGTGTTCGTGAACTGCTGAACGCCAGAACATGCACAGCACAACCTATACACAACACAGCCAATGCACAGCACAACCAATGCACAATATAACTCACAGATGCATGAGTTTCAAGTAGAAATCGATTCCAATAGAAATTGCACTTAGACATCGTGCTGCTTAGAAAATTGCAATTGGTCTCGTTTTACAACATTGATATTGAACAAACCGAACATAATAACATCCGGCTTATTTTCGGTACCTTACAATATTTGTAATGTCTGATTACGTGGGACAACTTGTTATTGTTCAATCCATCCTTTTATAGGAAACTGAGTTTGAGGAAATCATATTGCCACAGTTGTGTGACGTAAACAGAGAAAAGCAGACTGGAAACCTATTGACATGCGTTACACCATAACGTAGATGAAATGAATTCCTTGAGAAGTGTTTATTAGGCTGACAGGGTTCGCTTGGCTAGACGGTTCACATATACCGTTCACCAATAACCAGGGAATTGTCCGATATCAGCCTCGGATATCTAGCCCACTACATAGGTAAGCAGTTACCTAGTGTTCTATATCTGATAATGCCTTAACACGTATTCTGTATCTGATAATGCCCTAACACGTATTCTATATCTGATAATGACTTAACACGTATTCTATATCTGATAATGCCTTAACTTAACTGATAATGCCCGAACACGTATTCTATATCTGATAATGCCCTAACACGTACTCTATATCTGATAATCTGATAATGCCCTAACACGTACTCTATCTGATCTATATCTGATCCTGATACTGCTGATAATGCCTTAACACGTATTCTATATCTGATAATGCCTTAACACGTATTCTATATCTGATAATGCCTTAACACGTATTCTATATCTGATAATGCCCTAACACGTATTCTATATCTGATAATGCCCTAACACGTATTCTGTATCTGATAATGCCTTAACACGTATTCTATATCTGATAATTCCTTAACACGCATTCTATGTTTGACAATACCTTAGCACGTATTCTAATTTATATATGACAATCCGTAAATACGCATTCTTTATGTGACAGTCGGTAATCGTGTGTTCTTTATGTGACAATTCGTTTCCACTTGTTCTTTTATGTTACAAGTATTCTATATGTGACAATCCGTTAGCAAGTATTCTATGTGTAATCATCCCCTACAAAGTATTTCTTTGTGAGGAACTGTTACCAAATATTCTATATTTAGCACGTTTCCTGTATGGGACGATAGCCATTGCTATTGATAAACACGCATCAGTAATGAAAACAACGTTACTACCAATCGATGGCACAATCTTCAGTTTTTAGTACATATATATATATTGACACGTTGTGAAGATTCGCTAAGCAAACAACCCAAACATGGCAAGTACAAAAATATATTTCTCAGTGTGAATGATTGGCCTTGATTTCCTGAACACCCAATACCGCTATGGCCAATACGATATTTTGTGGAGAGTCTGTAAGTCCTAAACGCTTGGGTTAGTTACACACTTCCGTCAAGTGAACTGTTTCGGTGCGTTGCCTCCAGCATTCGGTTATCTGCTTCCAAAGAGGACAATCCGAGGGTGGTAATTGTGTACCTCTATGCCTTTGGGTCTATATAACAAAGATAGATCACACAGCTTTGACAAATCGAATGTCAACGTTTCAGATGGCGGTGCAAGGGCCCTTAACACTGGAAACACTGGCAACTTAGAATGAACACGGACCTTCACAATATACCTCTCGAAGATCGATCGAGCGTATTAAGCATGTTTTGTATGTTGATGATAGTGAAGGTATAGAAATCACACTGTGCCACATCACGCAATTAGAAGGAGCATACTCGGGTGGAGTACGTTATAGTTTCACTCTTTCACATCTGTGTCATCAAAGTGGCTAAACCAGGAGCGCAAATAACTCAGTGGAAACTACTTCTGTTACAAATCATTGAGACTTGCAGATGCAATATACAGCGTTCAGTATGTTATGTTTGATGTATTCTTTCACAATGGACCATTAACTCTTGAAGCTCCTGTTATTGGAGTTTGTGCTGCACCCCTATGGTACTTTGCAGTACAGTGAATTCAAGAAATCTCTCGAATATGACGCTTTCAGCAGACGATTGTTCCTTAGGAATCAACAGATCGGAGTGGTTCCCCCGTCCTAAACCTAAACGTTATTGTTGATGTTTAATATAATTAATAAGACCACTTATGTGTCGTTGGGACTGGGAATAATTTGCTTGAACATGATCTCTAAGTAAGCTTCCCAAAGGCTCAGTGTATAGGGTAAAGAATAGAGGCAGTAGAACGGAGCCTTTAGGGACGCAACATGGCAGCACTGGACTCTGAGAGACTGTTTCCTATGACTACCGAGTGTGACATGTCACAAAGATAGGAGATACACCGCTTATGTACTGTGCTGTCACATCCATAATCCAATTTGAGACGACGGATTATAATATCATGGT